TAGCTTCTTGTTACTACTAGTAAGGCACTTGTTACTACTAGCTTCTTAGTAGCGATGCCCTTTGTTCCTAGTGGCTTCTTGTTCCTACCCCAACGGTGACCCTGTTGCTCCGTTTCCTGTGGATTTCTTCACCTTTTGCCGTTCAAAGGTAAGAGCTTTGCACACTCAGCGTGCCAAGTGCCTGGGACGTGTTTAAGGATTTTGAAGCGATTCAAAAAGAAAAGGAGGCCATAGCTTCTAGGCTGGAGGCCATTGCTAGTAGGTTGAAGGCATTGACTTTGTTTAAACATCCCACACGTCTCGCCAGCAGGATGATTTGGATGTTTGCCATCTAGTGGCTCCATGTGGCTCCTTTGCGTCGCGTGTCCCAAAGTGTTTCTCTTTTTTCTCTAGCATTAACAGCAATCGTGGCACCTTGGGACAGCAAATAATATGTCTTAGACTAAGTCCATGCCTTCAACCTGCTAGCGATGGCCTCCAACCCAAGAGGAATGGCCTCTTATCTTAGATGTCTTCTCATGTTAAGTTCCCCAAAAAGATCTAGGAAGCAAATCATTAGTGCGAACGCTTCTTCCAGTAAGCTTCCTCCGCCGCCCTAAAGCTTCCTTGAAGAAGCGTGAGCTATCCTGCATCCATACTAGTAGCTTAAGTAAGCTACTAGCTACCTAGATACCTAGCTACCTAGCTACCTCTACTAGCGGCCTACCCCCACAGGCTTAAACAAAAAGACATGCTTTTGATCGTTTGCAAAGCCGCTTTGCTACGCACGTGCTGCGCCCGACATGGGCCGAGCTCTGAGGACTGCGCTGCAGGCCCTGCGACGCCATCGCCTTTGGGACGAAGCCTTGAGACCTGACCAAACCAGTCCCTTTTGCCACGCTAGTAGTAACAAGTGCCTTACTAGTCTGTTTTTTTAAGTTTTGTTTTTGGGACGAAGCCTTGAGACGTTGTTCTTTTTTGTTTTTTGCTCCTACTAGCGATGCCCGGGTTCCCTAGTGGCGTCCTTTTGTTGCTAGTAGTACGGCCAGGAGCCCCTACTAGCGTC